ATATATATATATATATATATACACTTAAGACAATGGACAGTATCCAACATAACTGTAATCTAATGGCTCATGACAATACTAAAATTTCTTGCTTATTAACAATCCTGCACCAGTTCTTGGGGCTGCTTAATGGTGAATGATGTAATGATGATTAAAAAAAACAAAGTTGTCCCTTTGCTTAATCAGTTGAGAACTATGCCATGAAGACATATGTGGGAGTGTAGATACAGCTTCACCTTCGACCTTGGCATGATATAAAGATCAGTGGTCAGCTTCCTGCCCCAAGCACTTTAACCCCATGGAAAGGGTCCCAAGTACCCACTGGATAGCAGGCTGGGTGGCCCCCCATTGTTGGTCTGGATGATGTACAGTAGAAGAAAATCTTGCACTGCCAGGAATCAAATGGGAAAACAAAATCTGTGTTTTGTGACTTCTATTTGCAGAAGAGTTGTCAAACACTACAGAGTACTATAGCAAATATAAATTTAAACTAGAATGTCTTGCATCTTACTAGATATCTATACAAAAGTGCAATGCTGATGATTTCCCCACCTTTCCATTCTGCAAATTCTGTTGTTCTAAACAGCAACTCACCTGTTGAACTTGTAGATGTCCTCAATGTTGTTGAATAAATCAGCAAGCTGCTTATTAGAGAGTGGACAGCTTGGAGCTGCCCGCCAAATGTCCAAATAGCCCTGGAACAAGAAGAATGTGTAAAACTGAGTTACTTGAATGCATAAAAACAAATCACAGTGATATTGCCTGTTCAGATTACATAAGCACTGGAATAATACAAGGAAAATACGACATACTGAGGATAATATACATGTTACCACAATGGGCCCCATGCTTACTTGTAAGTATTGCATATTTTTCTTAAAAGGTTGCATTACCAAGTCAGGAATGTCCCCAAGTATTACACAGACTGAATATGAAATAGCTATACAGAGTGTTTCACGACTTTAGGGCATAACTATAGGAGGTGATTTCCTAGGTCTTTGTGATGAAAAAAGTTCATATAAACATGTGTCAGATTTTGGACGGTTACAGAGTTATGACCGTTTATTCATTCCCATACACGCCCTCGTGTGAATCGCGTCTATCATCTAACAGGTAGCTATTTTTAGCCAGCTACAGACAGAGCGTTCTCGTTATCTCGACACTTGAGAGGTACTTAAGGCATGGTGGGTTGGTATGTACCCGCGTGGTTCACAACCGAGTGGCAGCCTGTGTTGCGGCCGGTGGTGGCATTTTCGAAAATCAGCTTTAACCACCAATAAATTCAAATTAAAGGTAATTTCACGAAGTTAACTTTACATTCATACTTTAAATGTATCATGTATTATGCTGGTTTATTATTTTGTTGCGTTTATTGTCAGTAATCGTTACCTTCTATTCTGAGTTTAAAACGGTCATAACTCCGTAACCGTCCAAAATCGGACACATGTATATATGAACTTTTTTGATCACAAAGACCTAGGAATTCACGTCCTGCAGTTATGCCCTAAAGTCGTGAAACGCCCTGTATAACTAATAAGTGTGTGTCAAATTGTAATATTATGTCATAAGTCGTGTGGATGGCAGCTCCAGTACCTTGCTCTTCAGTTTGTTGGCGTCACGAAAAATTAGGACTGCATAAAGAAAATGCCCTAAACCTGCATTTGGTTCGAATCTCAACTGGGTTACCAACTACTGTGGCTGCAGTTCTTCACAGTTTTTTGTAGTCTCTACAAGTGAATGCTAGGATACCTTACAACATGCCTCAACTACCTCCTTCTAAATTCTTACATACCAACAACTTAAGGCCATTCTGCCATCTAATTTGACCTCTAAAGATGAAACAGCACCATCAAATAAACCAAGAATCAATCACACTTGTTGGTAGGCATATCTGTAACATATATTAAGTGACATCCACCTTGAAGGAGCCCAATGGTGTGGCAAAAATGTACCACAAGGAAGTCATCTTGACCAATCCATATGACTTGGGAACTGGTTATCAGAAATTATTTTCCTTGGAAGCACTGTCACTAGAGTTGCTTATCTTGGTATGATCCCATTTTTGTGAATTTGCAAATGTGATGACACAAGTAATTCAGGTCAAAAATTCTATACATAACCATGCTGAAATACTATATAACGTTATATTTTAGCGTCCTGTTGCACTGATTTAAGTCCATGATTTATTTCAACCGTCCTCCAGTGCATACATTCATCTATCTCCTCCTCTCACTCGCACTACATGTTTCGGCACAAAAGTGCCATCTTCAGGTGCTTATTCGATTTACGCCAAACTAGTTATACCCAGCAGGCCCAGCAGTATAACACACGCAGTCACAGGAGCAAGACACAACACAAAGCACAATACACACACGATAGTGAAAGAGTGCTCCAACAGAAGAGGATAGGTGTGACTCGCGTAGTGAGATACGACGCAGGGATGAAAAATCCTTAACAGTTTTAATATTTTTAACATTTAACATTTATCGATATATATGATAAATATATGTTTTAGTTATTTTAATATGAAGACGACAAGGCATGCAATGAACTAGTTTGGTGTAAATCGAATAAGTACCTGAAGATGGCACTTTTGTGCCGAAACATGTAGTGCGAGTGAGAGGAGGAGATAGATGAATGTATGCACTGGAGGACGGTTGAAATAAATCATATACTATGCATGTACACAGGAAGAGACATAAACATTGGCCAAGGAGTGATATCATACTGACTTCCTGCCAGGAGAGGGCCAGGGAAGTACCTGTGAGAATGGTTCATGCCAGGAACTTGGAACGTAACCCACTGCTTGTGGGTGCATGAAATATTTCAAGAGCATGGAATGGAATGAAGAAATAACATAACTAATAATTTTATAGACTGAGATGCTGTCTGTCTAACTATATGTTTACCTCTCTGCCGAGAAACTTGTCTAATAGGTTCTTGTCATCATGATATGACTGGTGGGGCCTTCAGATATGGGGAATGGTACGTAGTTGCGAATATAAACCTATTCAATAAGCAGTTGTGAAGGTGGTTTTCTAGTTGGGGGGTTGGGCGAGGATCCAATAATTATTAGATATTATAACATACTTACATTTTATGGTGATAAATTATCACCATAATTTATCACCATAAAATGTAAGTATGTTATGAAATGGTATATAAGACACAGCACTCTTGTTGATGCGGTAATGAATCTTCAAGTTTCATAAAAGGCAAAATAACTGTCTGCACCAAGGAGTTAGTTCATTGTTTCTTTGTGCTATGTTCCAATAGCTTAATTAATATGTTGAAGTTGGTCTGATATCTGTGTGACTGAAAATTATGTGTGGAAACGTCATTTAGGGATTTAGCTATGTAAAGTAAAGGTATCCCTGTAACAGGCCGTGGAGGTCCATAGGGTCGTGAGATGTTGAGGTTCGCTCATTTTCTAGACAATCGGCTCACAGATGGCGGCAAGTTTGACCGCCTTACGCACCGGCCGCCCTATAGCCCCAAGAATATTCCTGGTACTCATTTCTGTTAGTGGCTGAGTCGACCAGGAAGGATTAGATCAATTGAAAAAAAAATCAATGACCTCATCTGGACCTGAAGCCGTGACTTTCCGGCTTGTAGCATAGTGCCTTAACCAACTACGCTACCGGGTGCCCCCTCGATTTAACTATACGGAGACTAATACATGATATTTCGGGAAAAAAATGGGGTTTCAGCGTATTGTTTCATGGTAACAACTCTTGGCACAAGACAGTATTAGAATCTCTGTCATTGGGCACTGTTATATGAAGTAAAGAAAACTGGCATTAACTACTGCAAACTTCTCGTTGTGTGAGTATACATCTCTGGTCACGGAGCTCTGTATATCGCCTTGCAGGAGCTACAGTTTGCAGTCATTAGCATATCCCACGTCTAGATAACATAAACGTGCAGTCTCGGATTGCGCACGTGGCTGCCAACAATAGAACTCGTTATCCGCTTATCGATAGTCGAAACATTCCCCTGCACACTGACGCCAAAACATCCTTGCTCGGCTGTTCGCACATCGCTCATGTTGGCCGGTTGGAGATTGATGACTGTAAAGCATATGAATTGGCTGCTTTTAGTTAAAGAAAGGAAACCAATCTGACTACCGGCAGGAGCACCGACGTCATTTCACTACAGCGTCCAGGCCCGATCTAGGGCTCATTTAACCTCCTGTTCACAGGGACTATTTTCCTGAAGATAAAAGAACCAGGACATGAAGCTGAGCACTCACTTCCGTCTACAGTTCCGTGATTACGTGTGCGTGGAGCTGCCCCCCCCCCACACACACACCTCAGCACCCCCAAGGTGTGGCGCTTAATACAACACTGGGATGGGCGTCCATACATTCGGACGGGTAGACTGGTGGACATGAGAAGTCTCTTCATGTTCAACAGGCCTATACTTTTATTTTGAGCGGTTTTAGGGTAATTTTATGAACACTAATTTATGAAGATAGATGGGACTGATATTCAATACAAAATAAATAAGGTTAATTTACATAAATTTAAATCACAACTGAAAAGAATTAATTTTACGGCCTGCATTTTATATGATCACCCCTTGACCTTTATTATCAGGGTATGAAGTAGGGGTCATGGCTGTGATCTCCTAGACGTGTCGGTATATTTCTGGGATAAGACAACAGACCAAAGCTATAGGTTACTAATGATACTGCACTCGTACAAGTGTCACTGGCAAGCAGAAGATCGGTACACGGTTTAAAGAGCAATAAGTGGGATTACTAAAGTGTTTCTCATTGTCGCCGTCATTATTATTATTATTATTATTATTATTATTATTATTATTATTATTATTTGTGTTATTGTTATCATTATTATCATCACCATCACCATAATCATCATCACCATCATTATTGGGTTTAAGACGCCAACAATTAATTTTAAACGTATAATCTGACAAGACATTAAAAATGGTGAAAAGTTAACCCTATTCTACAGCGTCATCCTTGAGGAGTTTCACGGTTATGTAAACAGTCACGAAACGACATACTTTTACGACACCCAAACGCTATGTCGTTTTTCACAAAAGCCGGATATCGGACCCAATCATGAGCAGGCTCAGTACATTTAAGATCTCTGCATACTATTACATCTATACAGGTAATTTTTTTTCCTTCGCTTAAGTAATTGCGCTATGCAGACATATGGAGGACTGGAGGTAAAACCCCATCATTCTTAACCTCGGAACCTCAGCTTCACGCACCGGCCGCTTCACCTCCAAGGAAAGCGCCTCCGGCACCCAGTAGGAAGGAGGTTGGGTGGGCCCCAGAATCGGTCTGGACGTTGTGGAAAAGCCAAAAATCTTACACTTGCCGGGATTCGAACTCCGGCTGTCCCAGCCCCTAGCCCGTCACAATACCGGCTGAGCTATCCAAATTCCTGACATAACATCTATGCTCACTTTAATATTACCTTCCCACTTTCTCCTAGATTTACACAGTTTTCTCCCACTTTCATACTGCATGCCCCATCCATCACATCGCTTTCCTTAATGGAATCGCCCAGAAAATATCAGCCATGGGCATTAATTGTGGAGCTCTTCATTATGTAAATGTATCCATCTCTCTGCTACATCTTTCTTCCGTGCAAGCAATTGCTTCAGCACCGTCTCCGAACACACTTATGTTATTCCCCCAGGGCGAGGTCAAATGTAA